AGTTTCACATTTATCTCAATAAAATTATGAAGTTGCTTTCAATCAGCTTAATAACTGTTACCAAAACCCACTATTAAATGCTACTTAGGGTCCGTTTGCGGCAACGAAGTGGTGACGGTACAGTACCGCACCGCAGTTTAGTTTGTTTGGATAAACTATGATTTGACAGTTTTTTTCAAAAAATTGCGGCTAAAATCTACGTTTTCTCACCGGTCCTGGCTAGATACGGTGGGAGCTTTCTAAATGTAGAATGACTTTTTCAAAAAAAAATAAATAAATAATTGCCACAACAGCTTTTTAAACATCTAATTTTACTTTTTAGCAGCTTCACAACTCCTTAATAAGCTACAACTGCCCTAAATAGATCCTTATTCTTGCCAACTTATCAAGATTCAAGAGTTCTAATGATCCTTAATTTAAGCAATTGATCAAAACCCAAAATGAAATGATTCTGAAACAACCCAATCAGTTTCTAAATAATTAAACAAAATAAAGCTTCTAGTACCAAACTAAGAATATTTGTAACAGAATAAATTAAAAAAAAACAGCCATATTAGCTACATTATATGATTATTACAGACATCTGCATAGATTCATTCATACGAGGCGCTTCTTTCCCCTAAGAACCACCAAAAGCCTTCATCTGAATGAGATTTACATGCATACCAGCAAATTCAGATGTATTTAAAGATTTAACACCTACATTTTGATATTTAATCATGCAGCATCCAATCTCTAAACATCATAAAAAATATCATGAATAATATTAGCTTATATATTGTGAATATATCGTTTCAAGTATGCAAATATATAGAATAAAGTGTCAAAATAGTCCAGTGATTATTTACATAGAACCATTTTAGTCTTAGAGTAGATGAAAGCGCCAAATTAATTCTCATACTCTATGCAAATATATAGAATAAAGTGTCAAAATAGTCCCGTGATTATTTACATAGAACCATTTTAGTCTCAGAGTAGATGAAAGCGCCAAATTAATTCTCATACTTTTTTAACATGAGCTGAAACAGTCTTCAAATTAAAAGAATCAGAAGATTAAATTGACGCTTTTATGGACTTTGGGACTAAAATGACTCATTGCAAACAGTGACGGGACCGTTTTGACACTTTTAGCCAAATATTTAAGTTAGTTTCTTTATATTAAGGTGTTAAATATGCAAATAAATAAGAATTTTGCGGTATGCATGCAAATTCCACGAAGCTGACTCCACATCAAAGCCATTCTTCAACATTTTGCAGATTATTACATCAAATCCATAGAATCATGAATTGTTGTACCTTTTGGGGAAGCTGGAGACAGAGTTGAGTTGAGATGCTGACTCAGATGGCTGTTAAGTGAAGACGAAGGGATCTGTTGAGTCGGCCAGTTAGGAAACTGTTGTGGATGACAGAAATAAGGGGAGGAACGCTGCTGAAACCCTGAGTTGACGGTGTTTCCATCGATGTTTTGAACCTGCGAAGTCGCCATCTTGAGCCGTCGAACTTCTTCACTCAACGCCTCATTCAAAGCTGTGGAGGTTCGGATTATGAGTCATGAAAAAATCTTCGAGAAAAGCAGCAAGAATTCGAAGTGGTAGTCTAAAATTTTTAACAGCGCATCAAAAATATCACAAATATTAACTTTATGAAGTGAAATATAATCAATGTTTTAAATTTATGCCGCTCAAATATTTCATATCACATCAAAAATACCATCATATTAACTTTTAAAAAGTGAAATATACCCTTGCATGCATACGTAAGGTGGTATGTATGTAAAAAGTGATGTTTAGGTGTTAGATGTGTAAATACATAGGAATGGAGGGGCATGCCGGTAAATCTTCTTAAAAAATATTTTTTTAAAAAATGGACTTTTTACACTACATCATTGATTGGATATAGCTAGAAATTAATATTAATATTCAACCTTATAAACACCTTTATAATCATTCATAGGCGAGGGTTTCATTTTCACTCTCAAAAAGAATGAAGCGAAAATCACTAAATTACAACACAACAGCCACTAATTGGAAGCAGGAATAATGCTTAACAAACTGACTCTCAGGCTACAATAAAAAATGGGAGTACAAATAAAAAGGAAGATTTACATACATACCACCCAATTCCTATGCAATTCCTATGTTACCCAATTCCTATGTTTTTATATATTTAACATCTAAACTTTAATTTTTACATACATGCCACCTTACCTATGCATGAATGGTATATTTCACTTTCTAAAAGTTAAAATGGTAGTATATTGATGTGATATGAAACATTTGGAAGGTATAAGTATAAAAAGAAAAATTTAGGTGTTAGATATGTAAATACATAGGAATTGGGTGGTATATACGTAAATTCCACTAATAAAAAAATGGTAGTATATATATACATATGCGCCTGTTCCTAGGTCAGTTGGTAGTAGGGCTACGGCTCGTTCGCTAAGTTAACGAGCCGAACTCAAACAACACAAATAAATATTCGTTCGTTCGCGTTCAGCTCATTTTGGCTCGAAATACTACTAATCAATTAATTTTTTGTAATATTTTTAAAAAGTTTAATTAAATACAAGGCTACAAAAGATTTATAATCAATAAAAAGTATTAATTAAGAAAGAAGAATAAAAATTATTAAATTAGATTCAAATGATGTTTTAAATCTTGCCCCAATCCTTAGCATCTTATGGCTACGTGATTTGACTCTTTGTTCGTGAACGGCTATTGCTAATAGTGTGGGTTTCGAATTCTGCCTCTGGCGACAGTTGCCTTAAGAATATTTGGGCACATGAGTTGCCCCCAGACCTGATGGGGGTTGAGCTAATAGTGTGGGTTGCGGACCTCACACCCCGACCCATTCTACATACATACATACATACATACATATATATATATATATATA